CATTTTGCTAGTTCTATTTAATTCTATTCTGTTCCATTGTGGGTGAGAGAACATTCCATTCCTCCTAATATTAATTTAGGCTGGAAAATACCCCCAATCTGAATTCAGGCTGGCAATAATCCCCAATCTGTGACATGATTTTTTGTGACATATATCATATTTGTTTTACTATATAAGGATGTCCTCTGGCCTGCCATTCGTATCGCATCATCCCATCATGGGCACTGATCAACAATCATATTTTTAGTAATGCAGATTTTGTTGTTAAGTGAACTGGGGCACAATTTTAGCTATGAGAGGGGGGAGGTCTGGTGATTCCATTAAAATACCCAAGTTTTATGCCCACCCCGCATAGCACAACATGAATTCCTTTTCATCTTTTCCCAAATATAAATTCAACAAACTTCAGCGGTTATAAGATATAAATAGAATATTGAATTCAGTTCTTAATTTTTTTGTTGCTGGTTCATTTTGTAGAATCCCATTGATTTGCTCAAAGTGCCTGAGGCTAGAAAGTTTGCAGGTCCAAAAACCTGCAGCTGTCTTGGGAGGTGGAAAGGCATGTGATGTTTGGGAGTTGCAGAAAGGTGAGAGTGATATTCTTGTAGGTTTGATTGGTAAGAAGTTATAACTTCTTACCAATCAAACCTACAAATCACCTTGCCATTGTTGCAGAGCTAGCCATGGTGTACAAAGTAAATGAATATCTCATCCACTGCTATCTTTTCCATTTAATTTGGAAAAGATAGCAGCATTTACTTTGTACACCATGGCTAGCTCTGCAACCATGGCATGATACCAATATTTGATAAGCTCATTCTTTGCAGTTATCTAGAGTTCTCCAATGGCAAACAGCATAAATAATGTAAAGGATTTAATCCAATCAGCTGATCGGACTTTCCCCGCTGAAGCATCTCCAAAAATAGACAAAGGTTTGATCCCAGAGGGAATCTTGGCTTGAGTGATTACTGCCCGGATCATTTTCAGGTGAGGAAACAGAGTGCCCGTTTGATCTCTCTTCCATCTGCATCTCAGATTAAGTTGTTTGGGAAGGAAAGTGGGGCTTCTTGCTCTTCAGTTCCACAGCAGCTTCATTGATGCACCAGACTTGTCGAGTGTGCCACTCAAGGATTCCAGTTAAGAGATGCAATAGCTCAACTACAACAAACTCTATTGGATTCCAATATGGTAGCTTGTTAAGGATTCAATATTGTACACCTATTTTTAAGAGATTTTCACGTTCAGAATGTGTGTTTGCATCTTTCCAGGCTTGAGATTACTTCCAACATCCCTTGATTGTTTGTTTATTCCAGCAGCTTTGGCCAAGTGAGTTGATTTTGTTGTCTTGAAAATAGCAAAATGAGAAGAATTGTTTGGCACTATGAGACAGCCAATCAGTTTATGAATATCCAGTAAATTGCAAACAGCTGAGATCAGAGCAACATGGATTTTCAGTCTTTAAGGATTTTGACAGGTTGAAATTTTAACGCCTTGATGCCACAAGTTTGTGACCTTTGGGTCCAAGTATAAAACTAAAGAAAGACTGTGTTGAGTCTATGGCAAAGTAGCCTAGTTGGGCAAGGCCACTGCTAAGGGAGTTGTTTGCAGGTGAACCAGGAACAAGGGTCTTTTGTTCAAGATGAAGATAATATATACATATTGTGATAAAGTAAGGTAGTGTATAAGGTATATAAGGTTGTGTGAGGGTGAGATTTTCAGGACCCTCTTTGGGGAAATGAATGAGGTCCAATACCAAAGTGAGGGACTCTTTGATGATTTTTTTTATCACAATTTTGAACCAATTGGCTGATTCCTGCTCACCTACCATTGAGTTATCAGCCTCCTGAACCAGAAGTATACACAATTGGGCTTCAAGTTTGTAAGCAAGCACAAAGGTGACTTTAGAGCTAATGAGGTGGTTGTTCCAACTGCTTCAAAGTTGATTCACATTTTCAAACATACTGGATTAATGTACACAGATTTGGGATGAGCTCAATAACATACACCCTAGATTCAAACCAGAAGTTTGGAAACATTTTTTACATGTTCAAAAATTCTTGTTGGAAAATTTTGCAAATGGTAGGTGCAGCCATAAATAGCACACATTCATATGTGTACAATGGCTTGAGAAGATCAGCCCATTTGATTAAATGAAAAATCCATATTCTTGGGTGTGTCCTGGATTAGATCTCAAACCTTTCTATCTTCCATCAAAAATTGACCATGCCAATCAGCTCAGGTTTTGTGAATTAGTGACCCCTGACCAAATTATTTACCATACTGCCTCATTGATCCATGAAAATACGACTTTTGGCACAGAGAATCATACTGATGCTGTGCAAAGCTTGTGCCAAAATTGAGCCGTCCAATCAATATAATTTGATTTATCTGTGTTGTTTCTATTGCTTGTATTTTTTGAAAATATGCATTGTTCTGAAGTTGATAAAAAGAAGTTGATCTTGTACCCCAAATACGCTTGGTCCACCCTTCTTTTAAATTCTCACAGATTTGCAGAAGTCAATTCTTCCAAGACTAAAATGAATTCCATGAGATTGGCAGAGGAAAAAAAGCCATCCAAGTGTGGCAAATGCTTTGTGGGGAAAATAGGACCAGAAAACTAGCTGCCCTCCAAGAGGTATAGTCTGAAATCTATAATTTGGCTCACAGCACTGCAAAAACAACTTGCTCAACTGCCTGCAGTTGACATGCAGAAAGTCCCAGGAAGCTTCTGTTGTTACTCTAACTATGCTTCAAAATTGATTCAACCAAGCTTTGATGCACAGTCACTGTGCCAAAAATTCTACATAGGAAAACATGTGGAGTTTGGATAGAAGTTTGGCTGGAGCTGCATGTCAACTGCATGAAGTTGATCAATTTTTTTTGCAGTGAACGTAGGTGTTAGATATCTCATCATCATTCCAGTGGCTTTTCTAGAAAAAACTGTGACTATTGTATAGAAATAACTGAGGAATGGAATAGATAGATTTTTGACTAAAGCATTTCCTCTTTGTCTTCAATCTTCACTTCAATGTTGCTATCATTATCCAAGAACTCTACTTCCTTTGAAAGAAAAAAATGCTCAACTGCCTGCAGTTGAAATGGGGCTCCAGCTGAGCTGCTATCCAAACCCCACATGTTTGCATATGTAGATGCTTTGGCACATGTCAGAATTTCAAGATGTTCTCCCGTGCTCTGTGCTCTGCGTGCTCCGTGCACAGCCATTCCTTTATCCCTGGCTGTTTCCTTTCCTCATCTTGACCAGAATACTTTTTTCCAACAATCTAGTTTGACAGGATTAATCATCAAGGTCAAATCACTGTCAGGATGGAGGTCCTCCTCTGCCAAATTTGAAAAACATGGTACTTATTTTTTTCTCTTTGTCTCTGTCTCATCATGTTTCAGGATCTCACTAATATATCTCCTCATTCTTCCTGTTTGCAATTATTTTGGGGTGGATTGTTTTGTTTTTTTACTAAGTCTCCTGCTGTCAGATCATCAAGATCCTCCAGGTACTTTTCATTCTCTCCTTTTCATGTTCTCTATCTTTCTGTATATGAAATCAAATCCTTTAGTTTTTGCCTCATAATCTAACAGCACAGTCACTGTGTATCAAAACTTGGTTGAATAACTGTTGGAGAAAGCTTGGATTAAAAACAGAAGCTTCCTACTGCAGGCATTTGAGCCTTTTTTTTTTGCATTGCTCCCCTTTGCTGTTTTCTTTAACATCCTTGGCTTAATTTATATGTGCTTCAGGTGGGTATTGATGGAATTTAACCTCACAGGAAGAGATGATAGAGTCAAAGTTGTGAATCATGTCCAACAGATTGGTCCCAATAGGAAGGGCTTTCTTCTCGGCAAAGCTGAGTTTCTGGAGGAACACATTGGAGTAAAAATCACCAGGGAGTCCAATTGGAATAGGAAAATTTTATTCAATGATCCCAGGATCAGCGCATTGTCAAGGTTGTAAAGAAGCCTGGTTACCATGACCTCCAATTTTCTTGAAATGTGGAATGATAGAAAACTTAATGAAGTTGGTGGCCTTTTGGGAGTGCCAGAATGGAGTTTTGGACAATGATATTTGGGCTTCCTTTTAGACAGCAAATCCATGATTAGAATTAAGAGTTTTTTTGTCAAACGGCTCAATAAAGTTGATGTGAATGCCTTGTTCTTGAAGTTCAAGTTGAAGCGCCATTGATTTCTGATTTCATAAATTCTGCTATGTCTTCTCCGGCTACTTGCACCTTGTATAGTAGGCACTCCTCCGTCAGCAGGAACACAGACGCTCTGGCCTCGCTCAGTCTTGTGTTTTTTGTTCTCACATGGAAAAATAGTTTAGATAGGGTTCACTCTACAGTTTTATTGCTTCTTTTCTTTGTTCACATCTAGATCTCTTGCTGTCCCACTTGTCTCTGACTCACTCAACACGTGGTGGAAAGAAAAACTATCTCAGTAGGTAACTGAGTGTCCTTCTCCAATGTGTGTCGAGTACCCTTTGGTTTCACTGCGGAAAACTGC